CAATTTTTTCTTTGTCATTTTCAACCCTGGCAACTGGTGGATTGTTTTGAAGTCAGAGTATTTGAGCTAGAAGTAATCCTGGGGATTGTCCGCTTCAGCCCCTTTGGGTTGCAGGAGAGATAATGGAGATCAACAGAAATTAAGTGATGTTTTCCAGGCGACATAATTTAGCAGCCTGGGTAGACCCAAACTGGATTGTAGTGAGATATTTCTTCCATTCAGTTTCCCCACTCCCTCTTAACCCTTCTAAAAAATATGGTCTTGAACAGAATTATCTCCATAAGGTGGAAATAACTATTGTGTGGCTCGCCGTCCAGGATTGTTGTGAAGTTACAGCGAGACAGGGTGTGCCCCGTAAATATACAGGACGAGGGTGGGGGTTCTTGCCTCACTGTACTAGATTGTCATTTCCTTCCCTAGTACTGACATATGAAGGCTGTGTTACATTAGGTTATTTAATGGGTCTCTCGTTGTGCATATTTCCAAAGCACTCAGCCCCAGACTCGGATTTGGGGGACCCAGTCTCTTTTTGGCTCGTAGCGAAGCCTCCCATCTATCCTACGGCCAAAGCACAGTCTCAGAGACAGCAAGCGACTGCCCACATATAGAAGATACAGACACTGGGTCGAGTGAAGGGAACCCGTCAAGTCCTCTCACGTAACCAGCACCCACCTCCCCCCATGGCCTTCAAAAGGGTCCCTTTTGCACTTCCACACATAGCTCCGTCACCCCGTGTGAGTGTCTCAGCGAGGGCATTGCCATTTCAGCAGGACACTTCTTTGTCCAGGGGGACTTCACCACACCGTTAGAAAGCTCTGCCCCAGTGTCCGCCCACTGTGGTTCCCCAGTCCTCGTGACAACCCAAACCTTCCCCTAGGCGGCCACACCCCCCTCCTTGAGAATCACCCAGCGCTTAAAGGGAAGCGGTGGGGTCGGCCCAGCCCACAGCTTTCCTATCAGCATTCACATCTGAGCGGAGAACGGTCTGTTCAAGCCGAAGGGCTGATAGATCCATGAGAAGGGAGCGCAAGTGGAGCCCTCAGTGAGATCCCACCGCGCTTACGCCAGAATGACTCAAACGAAAGACTGACAGTGACTCGACGAGGATGTGAGCGGTGGGTGCTGGGAATGGAAATTGGCATAGCCACTTTGGGCAAGTATTTGACAGTATTTATTAGAGTAAACATGGGCCTTCTCTAGCGACTCAGAAATCCAAGAGCAATGAGTACCCAGGCCTCCCGAAAGACACGTAGGCGAATGTTCGCAGAAGCATTGTTAATGGTAGCCAAACACTGGCAGGAATAAACTAATTTAGGTATCCTCACACAATAAAACACAATGCAGCAGTAAAAGAATGAACTGCTACGTGCACAGCACTGATGAATCTCACAGGTGTCATAGTGAATTAAAAAGTCAGGCAAAAGAACATACACAATATGATTCCCTTTGTATGAAGTTCATGAGCAGGCAGGTCTGGTCGGTGATGGTGGAGGTCAGAATAGTAGTGACCTGTGGGGGCAGAGATGTGGACTGGGGAGGGGCATGAAGGAGCCTTCTCAGGCAATAAACAAGTTCTGCAACATGGTCTGGGTGCTGGTTACGCAGTGCATGCACACACACACGTGTTCACATGTATGCATACATATACATTCACAATATGTATGTGTAAAATTCATCTAGCTGTTTACTTAAGATTGATAACTTTTCTGTATGTACATTTTTTAAAACTTGGAAATTTAATTTCTGATCTATGGTCTTTAGAGAATCTGATAAAAATAAATTGAGGCAGCTGAGGGAAAATGGAAGTTTTTCTGGAAGCTGTGAGCATGTGTCGTGTAGAAAAGGTCATGCTTTTGGGTGACTGGGGCCAAAATTAGGGGAGTTGGAGTTGCTAGTGCCGGTGGCACAAGCTGCTTAGAGCAGAGACGGCAGGAAAAGGGAGAGGTTTGCACGATTCCCCTGCCTTGTGGATTTTTCTGTTCCTCCCTGTCTATAGCCATACGTGTGCTCTTTAAAGAAGCCTTAATTCCTGTCCTCCCGTCTCATGGCATCATTTGAGGCAGTGAGCAGTGTCGAGGAGAGGCAAAGAGGGGGCGATGACAGGGCGCATCCGTGGTCGCGCACCAGGCCTTGTACGTTGGGCGAAACCCTTCCCCTTAGGCCGGCAGCCGGTGGTAAGGCTGGGATGGCGTGTTGGAGAAGGCGAGGGGACACTGGGGCTCAGAGGGGACCCTGGACTGCGCAGCGGCGCAGGACAGGCCACTCAGAGAAGGAGGAAGGCCGGTCATCGCCCCTCGGCGGGGACATGAGCGGAAATGGAAGAGAGACGATTTTGTGCAGACTTCTCGGCCACAGCTGGCCCGCTACCCAGCCTCGAGGTTTAATTGGGGACATCCGATAGGGGCCTTGCTCCTGCCACGCGCTCTCCTGTCCTTCACGGTGGTTTTCCCAAGGAGAGCGGGGCGCAGGCAGTGCTCTCGGTGCGCGCTGCGTGAGCCCAGGCACAGCACAGCGCGGGGGCGGGGAGGGAGCTGGTGAGGTGCGGGCCGGGTGCGGGCCGGGGGGAGCCCGCTGACCAGTTTCCAGCTGGACTCCACTTGGAATGCCGTGGAGCTGGTACAGCAGATGAGTTAATTTGTCATTTGAATGTCACTGGAAATGTATTTTATCACTAAAATTGAAAAACTGCATGTGTTGGATAAACTATGGCCATATTGAATAGATATCTATGGCTACTTAGAATATGAAATATAAGCAAACACCGATTTATTGAGGGCTGTATTTGCCTTTTTATGTGACAGTTCTGCTAGTAATGTTTTGCTACCAATATGTTCAGTTTTAATTTAGAAAATTAATATTTTGGAATCTTTAATAAAAGCTTATATTAGAATGAATGATAGAGGGAAATGAATATTATTTCAAAACGAAATACTAGTAGCCAAGTTTGTTAACCATTGAGCTTCATAAATTGAAATACAAATGACTACTGATTCTTCTTTTTTTTGGGAAAGGAATTGTAGCTTTCTTTTCTTTTTTTTAATATATGTATTTATTGGTTTCAGAGAGAGAAAAGGAGAGGGAGAGAGAGATAGAAACATCAATGATGAGAGAGTCATTGACTGGCTGCCTCCTGCACGCCCTCAACTTTGAATCAGGCCTCAACCCGGGCATGTGCCCTGACTGGGAATCAAACTTCTATCGCCTGGATCCTAGGCCCATGCTCAACCACTGAGCCACACCTGGCCAGGCTGATTCTTCATTTTTAAATTGTCACATTCTACTTTTGCTTGTTAATTAATTGCCTTTGCAAATGACTCTAATCTTTTTAAAATCAGCACATTTTTCTCTCTCCTGTTCCAAATTGCTTTGGTTTCCCTTGGATCCCTGTCTTTACCCATTCGGGCTGCTACAATACCGCCAACCGGGTAGCTTATAAACCACAGATATTTACTGCTCACAGTCCTGGAGGCTGGGAAGTCCAAGATCAAGGCGCCAGCATGGTCTCCTTCTGCTGAGGGCCCTTTTTCTGTTTGCGGACCTCCCTTGTGACCTCAGAGGGAGTTAAGGGACTGGGAATCCTCTGGAAACTGTTTTACAAGGCACTGATGCCATTCCCGAGGTTCTACCATCAAGACTTAAGCTCCCCCCAAAGACCCCGTCCACTAAGCCCATCACCTCTTGGTGTTGGATTCCAGCAAATGAATTTTGGCCTGAATGAATTTCAGACTTTCAGTCCGTAGCAATCACCATATACAGAGGACCTTGTCTCCATTTCCAGCTCTGGTTTCCTTTCACTTCTTGAATCCTCCCCTGCTGCTGAATATTTACACTTGAGTATCCCAGCGTGACCTTCGAGTATCAAACTAACCTCTTCCTATGCCTCTTCCCTCCTCAGAACTTTCCACAGAACCAGCAGTGTCTTCCTCTTTTCTCAGATTCGCAGCCTCCCGGGCATCTTCAACTCTTCTCTCTCTTTCTGATGTTGTGTTGGCCAATCAGACACCATGCACTGTCAGTGTCCTTTTAAAACAATTCTTCATCCCTTCCCTTCCTGATTATCCTCGCTGTCACCAACCTGGCTTGTCACCAGTCTCATCCTTGCGTTACTCCTTCAGTGATCGAACTTTTAATCTTGTCTCACCAAGCCATGTGCTGGCCAGATGACTTTCCCCCGAGCCTGCCTTCGATTATGTCTTCCCTCCTGCTTAGAAACCTTTAGTGTAGCTTCCTATCTCCATCAAATTGAATCCAAACCTAGCCTGGCTTTACCCAGCTCTTTTTCTAAATATATACCTTCCCGAAACTTCTTTTGTAGCCAGCGGCTTGAGTCACGATTTCCTGATCCCCCTTCCCTTCTCCAGTCTCTGTTTATGCTTTCTCGGCCAACACGTAAATCACTCGCCCCTTCCTCCGCATCCATCCAGCTTCCTCCCAGTTTCAGGGCCTGAAGTCTTCCCTCCTGGTCAATGCTGCAGCCTCCAGCTTCCTCTAATGGCCCTTCCTGTCTATATAGGCAATTTCATACTTTAACTTCAAGTGTAGGGCCTTTCTTCTAACTGTGATAACTTAAACCCAGTACCGCTTCTTGAATTTTTTACATAGTTGTCTGTACACCTAGACAGTCAGTGTCTCCAGGTGAGCTGTGTGCTCTCCCTCCTTGCTCTGGAGCACCTAACATACACTAACACCAAAAGGTAAGCTCTGCGAAGGCTGGAACCTCCTGTCAGTTTTGCACACTGGGAAATCCCTAGTATCGAGAGCAGAGCTGGGTACACAGTAGGTGCGTAATAAATATTTGTCGTATAAATTGCAATATGTTCAATAATGTCTGATTTCATTTTAGTTCATTCACATCTGCTGCGTTAAAAGATGCTAGCTCCTCTTGTTTACTGTAACCCAGCAATTGTGATGAAAAAGAAAGTGATGCAGTTTATGGCCAGAATCTGTCCGGCGTAACAGGGCTTGAGTGCTCCCTCTGAAAGAGTTGTGTTTCCCCGCAGACATTAATGAATGCCAGCTACAGGGTGTGTGCCCTAACGGTGAGTGTTTGAATACCATGGGCAGCTATCGATGTATCTGCAAAATGGGATTTGGGCCGGATCCTACTTTTACAAGTTGTGTTCGTAAGTAATGAGCACTTTTTATTCCAATTTTGGATCTTTTTGTTTGTCTTTTTTTGAGGGGTTGGGAGTGGGAGGTTATCCAAAATAAGGTAAATACTCAGTGGTCAACTGAATATTGTACATGTGCAGGAAAACCTCATTAAAAGGACGGAGGAAGCAGGGACTGAGATATTAAAATAAACCTATGTTACGGAACCAAAAATGCCATTTTTATTCATTCAGAAAAATAGAATAGCTAAAAATCAAGGTAGAGAACACGAACGCGGAGGAAATAGACTGATGAGAAGAAAAGAGTTCCTTAAAGTGAGTATACCTGGGAGATGAGACGTTTTCTCCGTCATGAGTATTTTAAGCGTTATTTAGGCTGAGTTCAACGTTGTCCCAGCGTCTGTTTTTAATTAGCCCAAATTCTGAGTCACTAGTGTCCGATTTAATGAGGTTTCACTGTACTTTCTTAGCTGGAGAGTCTGGTAAATAGTTTTGGATTTTCTGTTCAGTTCTAATTTCAAATATGCTGTTCTGTTGTCCTCAAAAACCACCAAAAATGTGTCCCCGAAGTTATACTGTTTTGCTTTATAAATGTTGTCTCTTAAGATTTTCTCTTATATCTGGTGTGGGTAAAAATCCTCCATCAAGCCACGTATTCTAATAGTGGACAGAAAATATAGTTTCTCCAAAAGACTGTCCCGCCATAAAAGCTAATCCAGCGTAGTCACTACAGATCACCTGACAGTTAGAGATGGATGCGTTTTAGATGTGAAATTCTCAAATGCAGACGATTAAAGGTTACTTTTTAAAGATATTTGTGCCCATTATTACAAAGCAGGTAAGCACTGCAGATTTTTCAAAGCCGTATATAACTAAAGTTTAAAACATTTTAAACTAACACATGGCAGAAAATAGGATAATTTTAAGAACAGTTCTGTATTAATTTCTGTCCCGCAAAGTTTTGTTCTTATTTATCTATTTTTTAATGTGGTTTTGGTATATGTTAAGCTGCATGCTCTGGTCCCGTTTATAAACTTGCCATTTGGTCAAGATATGCTCTTCATGATGATCCCATTGTTTGCGTCTAGCTGTGCATTTTATCTCTAACTCTGTGCCCTAAGCTGAGCTTGTAGACATGATGAAATAAAAACAAGCACAGTAGAATAAAAATGACAGGCTCGTTCATTACGTCTAGATGAGTTTGTTGAGTCTTTTGGAACATTGTTACTAATTACTGCTATTTTCCTTCAAAAACTGTCCAATGCAGATTAGGAAATTTTGCACGTAAGTTCTTTCCTCTACGTTCTTTCACAGATAGTTCTCTGATCATGAACAGACAGACAATTATAGAGCTTTTTGGCAGGTGGTAAAATTAGACTGTAAAATTATGTTTGCATACGAGGTACATTGGAAAACTGATGCAAGAATTTGGAAATTTCAGGCCAAAAATCACATGGTTGACAATATCCAGAAAATTTAGAGGTGATTTCTGGTTGATTTGAATTACATGAGTAAATATTTTAAATAGTTTTATAATTTAAGTATAAAAGATTTTGCAGAGTTTGGGAATAAAATTTGTTGTGAATGTTTTTTCCCCCCTTAGATAATTTGACTTGTCCGGTTAAAATTACTAAATTGAAGGTTGTAGATTAGTAAACTTGGAGAGCTGGTCGCAGAGTGTTTTATTAAACTTTGACTAGATCGGATGTCTAGTGTTAAGGGCAGATATCCAGGTTTTAATAAGGTTGTTGAAATTTGCCAATGAGATTTTTGAAACACTTACACATTTCCTTAGCATTTATTTTCCCTGTCATTGCCCAAATAATACTGAACTTATTAAACAACCATCCATTATTACTTGAAAAATAAATAATTCAATTTTATGGTTCAGCTACAACAGCTGAAATGATAAGTATTGGGAGACGTTCGTTGCTAGCTAAATGTTCCAGTTGAGAGTTTGAAGTTAAAACCTGGCCTCTGTACCAGTATCGAGAGGGCAGGTTTATTTCTCTTTCCTCTGAATTTACCACGTGGAACGTCGCAGAGATACGTAGAGTTCCTTCAGGGTTTGGGACTTGCTTCAATCCAGTCTGACTTGGTGGTGAACTATATTTGGAAGGAATTGATGGGGAAAGCCCAAAGACAGCTGAGAAGAATCGGGGACGAAAGTGATGTTTACAGAGTAAGGGCAGAAGATACTGGCAAGATGGGGGTACCCTCGGGGGTCATGGGGAGGCTGTAGATCTGAGCGGGGAGGAAGGAGAGGGTGTTTTGGAAGCATCAGGTAGAGGAATTGGGTGAGGAAATGGCAGTTGGGAAAGTTGCTTCATTTGGACACTGATACAGTAGAGAAGAGCGTTGGCTGATGGGAGAAGGGACAGAGGGGACCACCAAGCCTGGCGTCCCAAGCTTGATCTATTCAGCAGTTCTGACATGGCCCGGAGCTGGCTCTGTAGAACATACTCCAGCCACATTTACTTAGAAAATGGACTTCAGGAAGGCAGGGCTGGGTATCATTTGTCCTCACATGGGCCCTTTCTGTCCAGCAGAGCTGTGGCTGGGAGACTCCTGAAGTCTTATCTAGTAAACTTAGCCAGCAGGCTCCTGAGGACTAGGATGCAGGCTCTGGATGAGTTAGGCTGCTGAGCTTTTGTGATGTTTCCCAGCGGCCTGAGCACGTCCTCTGTCCACCTCTAATCTGCTGTCCGGCGGGGGCCACGTGTGGCACTGCAGTCGGAGGGTTTGCTGCCTGCCTGTCGCTGTTCACTGCCCTGGGGTGGAACCCGATGGGGCCCTGCAAGCTCTCACTGTCCTCAAAGCTAAAAGAGCAGCAACAGCGGGCTTGTGGCATGAACTGTGTTCTGTTTGTGAGCTTCCACAGTGCCTGGGTGCTCACCAAATTCTCCCCTAGAGCTGCCCCGATTGTGGCCAGCTACAAGAAAACAGGCACCGTGTAGTGATTTCGATAATAGGTGACTGGGTTTATTTGGGAAGGTAGATTTGGGGGGGACATTGTTTCTTTCCCACATCCCTGATTTAATGCTTTTTCTAAAATGGAAGAAGGAACTGGACAGGGTCCGTTAGGTGCCCAGATTCTAAAACTCATTTAGTAAACTGACTCTAACTGAAGAAAAGTTTTGTCCTAAATCTAGATAGATGTATTCTGAAGTATGGTTTCTGATCCAGGCTGTATGGTTATTTTTACTATTGTGTGCAAAGTCGATCTGGTTCTTGTTGTTTCTTGGGTGACGTCAGGCCTTATCTCTCTGCTTCAGCGGATACCCCTGTGATCTCTGAAGAGAAGGGGCCCTGTTACCGGCTTGTCAGTTCCGGAAGGCAGTGCATGCACCCTCTGTCTGTCCACCTCACCAAGCAGCTCTGCTGTTGTAGCGTGGGCAAGGCCTGGGGCCCCCACTGTGAGAAATGTCCCCTCCCAGGCACAGGTAAGACACGCCCAGCGGCGCACTCACGCTCATTCCTGGCCACGCAAGGACACAGGGCAACTTTGGCAGCTAGAGTTATTTTCGGTTTCTGACTCTAAATTGAGTTTTTAGTAATACAATGTGTTTTTGTCACTTCTGTAGAAACCATGAACATAGAAAAGGTGAATTGGTGGAAAAAATTACATGCAAAGAGATTTTCCCAATTCTGTGTAACGTTAGGTTTCTTTTGAATGTTAAGAAAATCCATTGCAATTTACCCTCACTTCCAGGACTCTAAGGCTGCTGTTTAAAGTGTAGCCAGATCAGAAGGCCCTGCTGGGCCATGCGCTTTTCTAATGATTGGCTACTCCCTTCTTGCACAGTAACTAGACCTTGTGCAGGTCGTCCCATTCACTCATTTATTGCTCATGTGCTTGTCAGGTTGTTGTGAACACTGCTTAATTTCTCCAATTGGAAATGCAGGGGATTTTAGTAACATAAGGGCAGACCCTGGCAAAGCCCCCATGAACTTCCAGATGGGAGCTGAATATTGTCCTTCAATTTGGTACCTAATTGCCTAATGCCCGAAAGAGCAAATTCATATAAGTGCCTTAATTTTACCAAGGAGTCACCAGCTTCTCATGCAGGGTTAAGGTAAAGTTAAATGGAAGAGAAAGGAACATATCCCGCAAAATACTGGGCACCATGATCTTATCAAAGAAGGAGTGGCCTCAATTTCACTGGTGTGGGTGGTCATAAAATATTTACTCAACTGCATATCTGAGAAGATGCTTCCCACCTGGAAAAGTGCATAAACTCTCACACGGCTATTGCATTCTTAAAGCTGTAACTTACAGGTTAAATATAAATTTCAATATTATGATCCACCCTTGGTGGTGGGTAGGATCAGAAAAAACTGGTAAAGCAGAGGGTAGTGTAATGTTGACGGTATTTTGGTAGACCAGATAATTTTAGACATCTCCAAAAGGCCCTATTTTCCTTCTGTAGTATCTGACCCACCCATTATCAAAAAATAAATCATCTTTATAATTCATAGACACATTTCTCTTTAAGTTCAATTTTAGTAGCTTTGTAACCTTTACATGAAACATAAATCAGGATGGTGAGTGTCATGAAGGGATACAACAGCTAAATTTGAAAATAATATTAAAGATAACATTTTTACACTTAACCAATTTTTGGTTATGTGGTGATTTTCATAAAAATAATATTTAGTTCATTAGTGCTTCAGTTATCTGATAGAAGGCCTTGTTTCCTTCTGGAAACATCTATTCTGTCCAGTGAGAATCGTATTTCATAGTTAAACATAAGAGTGAGACTCCACCATGTGAGGTGGGAGCCTTATTAAAACAGTATTTTAGCGTGCTTTCAGGTGTACTTTAGAGTTTCCTTTTCATTGGGAACTCATTTTAGGTCCAGAACATTCAATAGGAGATCTTTTGTTCAGGAGAAGTGAGAAATGACTTATTTTCTTTTTAACTTTAAAAGTAGAAAGAAAAAAGTTGACCCTAAGCTCCTTGGTATGTGTGCATTTGGTAACTTGCCTCCAATACCAACACCAAAAGGATTAGGTGGGTTTTTCCTCCTTGGGCCCCGTGACACCTGGCCACCCTCATCTTTCCCCTTTACTTATTCCTGGGGATTCTGCGAAGGAGGGCAGCAAGTCACACATGTCCAGCCTACTTTTTTATGACTGTGCTAAGCCACTTTGCTGGGGAGGACGGCAGTTCCAGGCATGGACTGTCGCCTGCCCGCTGGAGAAGTTAGCCGTCCGCTCATGGTCAGGCTTCTGCCACTTATCATTCCTTCCCTCGAATAGAAGAACATGCTAATGTGGCATGTCCTTTTTAACTCGGTTCCTACCCATCACCTCTTTAGCATGTTTTAATTCACTGGGTTCCCTCCCACTCTCCTGAGACTCTATTCAAACACACTCCCCTTTCCAGCCCCTAACCGGCCTCTCCATCAGCTTATACACTCCGTTCGGGCCAAGTCCTTTGGCTTCTTCAACTGCAAACAGGTTATGAAGATTTCANTCAGCTTACACACTCCGTTCGGGCCGAGTCCTTTGGCTTCTTCAACTGCAAACAGGTTATGAAGATTTCATCCCCTCATTTCCGTGAATAGTGATTTAAAAAATTTTTTTCTTTCCTCATCTAACTTAGAAGTTACTGAGCTTCTTGCTAATAATTAATGAAATTAAACCATAATAGAAGAAAACCCTGATTTTTGCTGATATTACACACACACCTCCAATAAGATATGTATTATATAGTGTCTTTTATGCATACATATCTAATATATTACATATATTTTATATGTGTAATATATAATGTGACATATAAAATATTAAATATAAACGATAATTATCCTAATTCATTGCTGAGACATATGATATATAAAATATATGCTCTTATATGTGCTATATATGTAATCGGATTGGGTAGGATTAGGAATTAACAGATGGAGAAATGTTTAGTAAAAGAAAGGGTTGGGTATTTTTTTTCTGTAACTATGCAAGTTTAACAGGAATTCAAGCATTTTGCATCTGTTTTTGAAGATTTTAAATGTAACTATATTAGTGGTTATTTATTAAGAGATACTCATCATGATATTTTCCTCTGTATCAGTTTGCACTTTTAGATTTTTAAAAGGAATATTTTCCCATCCCAAATCTAGCTGCTTTTAAGGAAATCTGTCCTGGTGGAATGGGTTATACGGTTTCTGGCGTTCATAGACGCAGGCCAATCCATCACCATGTAGGTAAAGGACCTGTATTTGTCAAGCCAAAGAACACTCAACCTGTTGCTAAAAGTACTCATCCTCCACCTCTCCCAGCCAAGGAAGAGCCAGTGGAGGCCCTGACCTTCTCCCGGGAACACGGGCCAGGAGTGGCGGAGCCAGAAGGTGAGAGTGGACGTGGATCGTGGGCCTAGCCGTCTGTCTTGCGTGCCTTTGCTTCGGTTTCCCTGTTTATGCCCTTCCAGAACAGGGGCTTCCCGCCTTGGCACTATTGACGTTTGGGGGCAGACAATTCTTGGACGTGGGCCACTCTGTGCATTGTAGGATGTTTAGCCACAGCCCTGGCCTCTGACCTCCAGATGCTCTAGAATACTTTTTCCCTTACAGTTGTTGCAACCCAAAAAAGTGTTCAAACATTTCCAAATGTGCCCTGGTGGGCAAAATTACCCCTGGTTGAGGACCACTGCTCTACAGTAATATGAACCTAGAAGGTAACAATATCCCATGGTAATCTCAGGGCATAGTCTTGTGTTTGGGGCCCCTGTGTCATGGTGTTTAGCCCTGGAAGAGTGATTTAGATCCTTCAAGGAATTGCCCGAATTCCTTTGTCTCTGGGGCCATTTAATAAGTAGTTAATTACTTTAAAAAGTGGAATCCACAGGCTTAAAGTTAAAGCATCAACTGAGCGTCCATGAAATATAGTCCAACAGGCCTTCAGGGTTAGTGGCAGGCAAAGGAGAGGAAGACAGAGTCAATTGAAGGGCTCGTGGAGATCACTTAGAGCAGCCCTTTGGTTTACATTTTGAGAAACCTGAGACCTAGCAAGGGGACCTGTCTTGCCAGATGTCATGCACAGAGTAGATGATGGGACCAAGAGCACATTTTTCCAAGGAAGTGGTTTATACTCCAGAGGGAGTCTAGAGACAGTTGACTTTGACTATCTCTCCGACATTCAGAAAGAGGATTATCTCTATCTCTGTCTCTATGTAAACCAGCATATCTAATACTTTGAATATCTCTGTTACTACAAAAATTCACACCCCCAACAGAAGGAACAAAAATCTCAGGTTTGCATGGAATAAATATTGGCTCTCCTGTTGGCTTCTCACACTTGATTCTTAGGTCAGAATTCAGGGTGCTCATTTGGGATTTTGTAAGGAGAGAAGGTTCCCAGGTGAGTGAGGAACTGGGGGCGTGCCAAGGCCTCCTTCCTGGTGGAGGTGTCTTTTTGCAGGGCTGTGAACCTTCGTGTGTTCCAGCCTATTTTATTCCACTCTCACGTGCTGCACGTCCCCCTTGGTTAGGCAGAGCAGGTGAGACCTCACCGAGAGGTGACGGTGTTGACCAGTTTGCTCCTATCCACTTGGGGCGTCATAGCCAGATGTTTGCAGCCCCTCGCCCTCTGTGTAAGCAGAAGATTGGCTCTGGTTCAGGTTCTGCCTCAAAACTTCTTCATGGTGGATTAGGCAGGACAGAATGGTAGTTGAGTTTTTCCAGTCACAAGAATATTGCAGCAGTGGTAGCAATCTGGCACCTGATTGCTTTTAGGCGTTAATGCACCTACTGAACCTGTATACTAGTGTTTCTGGGGACATGGACTCGTGAGAAAAATGTCAGTGAATGTTCACCCAGGGCTTAAGGACTGATTAGTGAAAAGCAAGCCTTGCAAAATACGAAGGCATAAGCACTAACACCCTATAATAATGTTTATAATTGTGTCACATGTGATTGGTTCACCATATTGATGCTGATCACTCCTTGGGCCTTATTGGCTTGTGATCGTTTTCTCACAGTTTCATCAGCATATCTTCCTGGACATGCTCACAGGGCTTCATTAAGAATTTGTGTGCATCAAGAACGCAGACCCATTCTTACGTCCCGTTGAAATAGCCGCATTTCTTTTTTAACGTTGACATCAGAAAGCATTTCAAACATTATCTGTTATGTTGAGGATACGTATGTGACCAATTAAAGAAAATGTTTGTTTTCTAAGATATGAGAAGTTCTACAAAATTGAGATTAGGTGTAAAATAATGTACCAGAACGTGTTGCTCCCTCTGACTTTTTTAGTTAATGAGAGACATGGAAAGAACTTCATCACACCCGTGACCTGACCTCCTGTGACTGAGGCAGGACATAGCACCGATAGTGTTTCCCTGTCAGTCATGTGTAAAATTCTCCCAAGTCGTAGTGGCCACAATTCTGCATTTGACTTGGTTTGAGTCTTAATCCTTTTGGAGAGATGCTAGACTTTTATTGCATTTTAAAAATTAAAATATTATGTAGTAGATTGTTTTAAATGATACTAACGTCTTCCTTTCTTTTCTGGTTTTAGTGGCAACTGCACCCCCTGAGAAGGTAATTTATTCATTGTTTGCAAGTCACTCTTTTTCTTTCACTTCACGATGATTTCCTTTTGGAATACGTATGGGTTTTTTAAGGCTGAAATACCAGAACATGTCCATTCATCATTTGGTGAGAGGAAATGTGTTATGCATACATTCAAGAAATATTTAGTGAGCACCTACTATGTGACCAGCAGTCATGTTTTTTGAATGTTAGGAAAACAATAGAGAAAAATATCAGACAAGACTTTATGTTCTCATAGAACTCAAGTTCCAGGGGAGGACAACGGTGAGACAGATGGGAAAGTTAAACAGACTTCAAGGAGCCAGCTCATGGCCTGGGCCCTCCGTGGAAAGAAAGCTTCTGATGTGTTTTTGCAATTGTGTCTTCTTGTGGCACATATGTACTGAGCGGTGTACTTCTTAATTCAGTTCAAATTTAACATGCGTGTTTGAATTTGTTAGAGTAAAAACAGAGCTTACCCTTGAAAGTTACAACTAATACTAGAATATTGCGTAGAGAGTTTAGAGAAATTTTTATCAACCTTTGTTTTTGGCATAAAATGGGACTTTGAATTGTGAAATTTATTCGTAGGAAATCTAGCAATTTTCTGGAACTAAGTCCTATTTATGGAATATTGTTCCTTGTCTGAATCTTGCTTTGATTCTCTAATAACAGGACAGTGAGGTAACTATTAAATGTTTATACATTTATGTGTCATTTATTCAGTTGGCAAGAATACAGTAAGTATTCAAATTTAGATCGGGCATATCTACCTATCTATATATATATGTAAATTATTACAGTTTCAAAAAATCTTCATCTTGTGGATACAGGCTAGAATAACATAAGTGTTATACGTGCCGAAAGTATCCAGGAAAAAAGAAGTATGATTTTAGAGTGATAGCTTCCAACAAGGAAGACTGTTATTAACCCCAACCGAGCACATGAGACCTGCATATTTACATGAGCATTTGCAGCTGTTGGCAGCGTCTCTGAAGTCCAGTGACGGTGATGGTTTGCAGTTTCGTTGATTTTGAATTTAGTTCGGGTGGTGCGTGCGAGCCGCCATTCAGCGTGGGGGCAGCGCCCCGACGGCCGTCCCGCTCGGTTTTGCCCGGCCTGTGGCTGTGCTGGGCCGCCTCTCCTCCGGCGCCCGCGAGGGGCCTGCGCGTTTCCCGGCCGCTCTCACTGCAGCTCTTTGGAGAGGCGGCCGTGGGCGGGATGCGCCCGCAGCCTCTGTGGTCTTCATTCCTTGCGGAGGCCTCAGGATCTTCAAGATTGATGATGGGAACGCAGGGTGCTCGGGGTGGGAACTCACACGGGCAAAGGTGCAGGGGGCCCAACAGACCCGTGAGGGGCGCAGGAGAGACTTGGTGAGAAGGAAACTTGGAAGGCTTGGGGTGTCCAACTGCAGTGTCATGTGTGGGGAAGGCCTCTGCTCCCCAACTAGACCCCCTCTGTCTGGTGGCGACGTGGCATCGATCAGGGAGGCTGCTCCCTGTGCTGATGGGGGAGCTCTCCCTGTCAGCTGGGGGAGTCCTCTCTGTCAGCTGGGGGAGTCCTCTCTCTAAGCTGGGGGAGTCCTCCCTGTCAGCTGGGGGAGTCCTCTCTCTAAGCTGGGGGAGTCCTCCCTGTCAGCTGGGGGAGTCCTCCCTGTCAGCTGGGGGAGTCCTCTCTGTCAGCTGGGGGGTCCTCCCTGTCAGCTGGGGGAGTTCTCCCTGTCAGCTGGGGAGTCCTCTCTCTAAGCTGGGGGAGTCCTCCCTGTCAGCTGGGGGAGTCCTCCCTCTAAGCTGGGGGAGTCCTCTCTCTAAGCTGGGGGAGTCCTCCCTGTCAGCTGGGGGAGTCCCCTCTGTCAGCTGGGGAGTCCCCTCTGTCAGCTGGGGAGTCCTCCCTGTAGCTGGGGAGTCCTCCCTGTCAGCTGGGGGAGTCCTCCCTGTCAGCTGGGGGCGTCCTCTCTGTCAGCTGGGGGGTCCTCCCTGTCAGCTGGGGGAGTTCTCCCTGTCAGCTGGGGAGTCCTCTCTCTAAGCTGGGGGAGTCCTCCCTGTCAGCTGGGGGAGTCCTCCCTGTCAGCTGGGGGAGTCCTCTCTCTAAGCTGGGGGAGTCCTCCCTGTAGCTGGGGGAGTGGGTTAATGGTCTCCTCCTTGCTGCATTGACCATGGGCTGCAGGGATTGGGGTGCAGTCGAGGCTGACTGAGGTCATCTTAAATAGCTAATAGAAAGCTAGTGTGTGTTCTTGAGAACGGGGGAAACTGTGGGGAAAGGAATCAAGCGCTCAGTACCTTTAGAAGGTAAATCGCAGTGGGATTTCCTGAGACGGCCGTGGCCACAGACGGGTGGACGGGCAGGGCTCGGGTGAGGAGCGGGGAGGGGCCCAGAAGGGCCTGCGGCCAGGGTGGGCCCGTGGGTGCCGCGGGAGTGCAGGGGAGCTGAGCTGCGGGCGGTTTCAGGAGGCGTGGATTTAAGGAGTTCGTGGACTCTCAGTGGAGTCGCCCTGTACGGGCTCGTGCTTACAAATTGGATCTTGGGTGAGACGTTCAGGCGGGATTTCTGTTTTATAAAAAGTAGGAAGGCTGATGGCTCGGACCAGGAGGCAGGGTGACGGGAAGTGGAGGCTGGGAAGCAGCTTCCGGAGGGGACGGCGATGGAAGCGAGGGCCGGGCGGGCGGCACTCTCACCCCCACGCTGTTCACCTGAAGCCAGTGGAGAGTCATATTGAATGTCAGCCGTCAGTGGGAAATAAGATGAAACAAAGGGACAGCAGGAGGGGTCGCGAAAGGGGAAGAGCAGAGATTATCGAAGCAACAGGGGCATCAGGAGCGAGGGACGTTATAAAGCGAAAGGAAAGAACATCAAGAGGAGACTCAGGCCTCTATAAGTTTGGTTTTTTAAAAACCCTGCAAATCAGGGTAAAAGGGAAGTTGAGAGGAGGGCGAACAGTAAATAAAGGAGTATGTAACTATAGCAACAGAAAGGGGGGCAGAGCGTGCGGGGTAACAGTGGCCGAGCAGCCCGAGGAACCTTGGGCGAAGCGGTGAAGCCCTGCCCTGGCCCGCGGGGGGGCGGGCCCCAGGTCCTGAACAGGCCTGGTCCGGTCTGCACGAGCCCCGGGGGTGTGAACAAGCTGAATCATGAGTCTCTTGCTTCGCCGGGGTCCAGGGGACGCGGGTGGGCCACGGGACGCAGGAGCCTGGGGCGCCCCCTGAGGCCCTGCCTCTGTCTCTCAGCCGGACGCCGGGCCTGGGGGTAGAGGTGCGGAGCTCTTAGACGGGAGGTGCGGGCGGCCGACGTGAAATATCTAAGATCGTGTATTTTCTAATAGCACATCTGCTACAGCCATTGTCTAACCTGGGACAGAGCCTCGTGCGAACGAAGTGATGGTTTCATTTTCCCTCGGGGTTAGTTCTGTTCCAGACCAAGTGGGGGCCCCTGAGCCGAGGCATTTGCTTAAACTGCCGGGAGGGACCCTGCTCCGGCCCTCGGGAGACCGGCAGGGTGTGCGCATGCTTAGCCCCGCAGGAGAAAGCGCTTGCCGTAGCGGTGGCACGCCGATAGTTCATTTTAAAAAAAAATATTATACTACTGCACAGGGTTTTGTCTAATGTCTTATGATATTTATTGCCTAAGAGTAGAATTAATTGAATAAAAATAGTTACAAGTGGAAACTAAAAATAATACCTACTTTCAGTTCTCTTTTTGTCTTTTTTTTTAATACAACCATGCAGGAAATACCTTCATTGGATCAAGAGAAAACCAAACTTGAGCCTGGTCAACCCCAGCTCTCTCCAGGCGTTTCAACTATTCATCTGCACCCTCAGTTCCCAGGTAGCTTTTGTTCGCCTGTACTGTTCGTAAGAGCATTCTCAAGAAAAGAATAAAATAAGAGTATTTTGTGTCTTTGATTTTAGAGTTTAATAAGTCATTAGAATTATACACAGTGTATCAACATACTCATGTACTGTTAGTATTATAATGGTATTGTAAGTATTATAGTGGCAAAAGAAAAGCGTTTTGCTATTTTCTGTGGTCGGGAGTAATATATATTACCAGAAGATTATTGAGGGTCAGCATTTGATGAATGGTCATTTTTCTCAGCTTCTGAATTATTCCCAGTTATTTCTGCTAAATGTTGAAACCTATAGCCTAATACCTTGAGTTTTAGGAACCTATAACAGTTCTTACTGTCCAGGAACTGCCGTGGTATGTTATTAGACTAAATTACGCTTGCATTTTTAAATGGCATCTCGGTGCATCTAACAGGCTTTCATTGCCTTTTGGTCCCCTCCTTCTTTGTATAGTAGTAATTGAAAAAACATCGCCTCCTGTGCCTGTGGAACTAGCTCCTGAAGCTTCTACGTCCAGTTCCAGCCAAGTGATCGCACCTACTCAAGTAACAGGTAGGCTCAGCGTCTGTTGTGTGATCGTGGGTATGAACCTCATTTTAAATAGAGTATCAAAATTGTGTGAGATACGTGAGATGCCTTATGGCAGGGTTAGTCCTCATCGCAAGATTTGGAAATAATCTAAATATTTTTTAAAAGGAGGAATTTGTTGAAATAAACTGTGGTACAGTGGACGGACCTCTTGCAAACTGGCTTTGTGAGGGTCAGCTTGGCCAGGTCACTGCAGCTTCGTCATTTCAGCGCAGCTGTGCGAGGAATCACAAATCGAAGTTACTTAGCTTCAGCGGAACTGCGGAGCTGAGCGAGAGAAATGAGAGCAGCTATGCTATATGAAGATGTTAAACGAGTTTAATTTGAGTTTGGCAGAAAGACAGGGATAACATCTGCTATCACATGTTGGAAGCACAAACATTTCCTTCCAGGAAACAAGTTAACATTGCAATTTCATTTTCATCCAGCATTGGTAGATGCTCCCCCTTCCAATAGTAAAAAAATCTGAAACAATTCATGGGGGGGGGAGGAACATTACAAATAATCTTTGAATTAAATGTGTTTGCAACTTTGGGGCTACACTGTAATCAGTAATCTTCAATAGAACAAGAAGACTGTTTTGTATCAAATTTAATTAAAAAAAAAAATACAGGGTGTCCAAAAAAATGTATACATACTTTGAATAATTATTAATTCCAATGGGTTAAATCTGAAAAGAAAGAAACATCAATTGAGCTATTAGCTGTTAAAGTGTGTATACATTTTTTTGGGACACCCTTTCCTATTGGCTTGATATGAGAGCCAGACATACAGATTGAGGGAGCGAGGCGATCAATTCTCTTAGGAAATGTTATGCAATGATTTTCCCCCCTAAAATACAGAAGAGTTTAATGTTATTTGTCACTATTAGTTTCTCTCGTAAGTTGAAGAAAGGACTAGAATAATAATGAGTCTAAAATAAATACAATCAGTTCCACATTGCCTAGTGATGATATCTTTATGATGGTGAGAGTGGAAGTAGACTTTTCAGATTTTGTCAGACACCCTTTGACATGCAATAATTATAAAGCGAGCCACGTATTTGCAGGAAATACGTGTGATATTTTCCACTCTTAACAGCTGAGTTGGTGACTTGCAACATTATTGGCACGCTGTTTCCAAATAAATTATAGATTTCAGCATATAAATTCTTGATTTCGCATAGTGTCTTAATAGCTCAAGGATAGATTGGAAAATGAAACCTTTATTTCTCTGGCAGATACTTGCAAAGTGGAAACATCTGTTTCAGCTGTTGTGGGACAGTTTCTGCTCATTGTGTGGCAGTTAGGAAGCCAGGGCATTTTGCAAACCTTTCCGTGAGTTAACATGTGATGCTTCCTCCTGCTCATCCCGAACTTTCTCCGTGGCCCTTGCAGACCAGCCAGAAATTATCCTTTGACATCAGGACTGCCTTTGCGGAAACCTTTGTCATGATCAGAACCCAAACATTATAAAAATTGTTTGCTCATCAGATCTTTTCAGAGCTCATAACTGACCCCTTTAAAGAGACGTTTGTCCCTGAAGCCTATCACCAGTGTCATTACAGCCTCAATAAACTACGATGATGGAAGACAAACTCTTTTTTTTCATGTAAAATCATCATGCTTTAATATTTCCAGGCCCTCTTTATTTATTTTGAGTAATCACATGATGAAAAAAATCTAAAGGTCAGCATACTCATTTTCATATTTTGCCAAATGCTTTTTTCCCTCCCTTTTAATTCTAGAAAATATAACAGAGCTAGCAAACTCAGATCCACCGTCAGCTTTGTTGCTGGGATAAATAGAGTGGTTTTCCTTTGGTGTTCCATTGTGGCTCTTTTTCCAAATTCGAAATGGACTGTAGCGGGAAAAAGACAGAATTAGTTCCTTGACCCAGTGAAGGTGAAGTTGTTCCAGGGGCACACACCTGGGGGTCGGGGGGTCCCGACAACCCTGGGGGTGGGATGGGGATTGTGAGGGACACACAGGAGGGTTCGGGGGAGCCGACTCTTGACTCCCTGGGAAACCAGACATGCTGAAGGAGACAAGACACCCCCATTATCGAGAGCTCCCAGAGACCAGCGAGTAATGCTTCCTGCGTGAGGCTGGGCCGTATTTCCAAGGCTGATGTCGACACAGTCTAATCCGAGAAACGTATGTTTTGACTGATCTCCTCTCTGAGGACAGCTTCACACACCTACGTGTGAGTGACCTCTTCACAAAATAAAGAGCACAATGTCTTTTCCCTAAAACACGTGGGAAAGGCAGAAGGCTTCCCTTAGTCTTCAAGGCCGTGCCCTCAGGACTCACCTGGCTGGGTAACCGTGTGAGCTGGAGAGGAGGGGACGCGGGAGGAGGGAGGAGACGTGCTTTTTAAAGTTTCGAGATAGGAGTACTCGTGACTTATTTTTACCTTAATAAATGGTGACGATTAACTTTGGTGACTAGTGAGGAGGAAGCAGCCCAGGCGTTTTGAAGGTGGTGTGACTCTTCTTTCCACGTAGAGGGTGGAGATCTGCCAGGCACAGGGGGTGAAAGGGGTTTCTGGGGCCAAACTGATAAAAGTTGCATGAATTAATGACTTGGGTAAAAAGTGGGAGGAGCACAGAGGAAATCGTGTATATTTTAGTAAATGTCCCTTCACTCCTGTGATGTATCTCTTAGTACCCTCTAGTGGTGTCAAAGGGACATTTCTTACCTGCGTCAGTGCCCTGCCCATTGGGATCAGCATTTTCAGGCAGCATCCTGATAGACTTACTAGTCTATGAGGCCGTCAGCTAAAGATCCTCAAACAGGCCTCATAAATACAATTCCAACCTCACAGCTTCCATTCAAGATACTAGATTGGAAGGAAGGGCTGTTATTGTTCATTTCATTTCCTGGGACTAAGGAGTTATAATTCTTAAGCATTTCTTATATCTTAGAGCTGACTTAAGAAAAAATATATTGGCCAACTGTGGTATAGGAATGTATCTCGTGTGAATTAAACATCACATATTTTTGAAGACTTTTGTTCACACGTGTAGAAGCTCCATTCTGATATGCTTGGAAAGTGGCAAATCTTTAGTAATCAACAAATTAGTACTGATCAAGCATTTCATGAAAACTCCAGATATTTATAGGCTTTTGATTTGTTCTGATTTTTTGTCCCTAGTTATTAATTTATCTTCTACTTTTTTTCATTTTGCAAATGTGATCAGTATGTCTTTTCTTTCATAAGAAAATGAGAGCAAAGAGTATAAAGGTCAGTAATTACAAAGAAAACTGAGAAGTGTAGATAGCAGTAATTTTCAAAGAAGGCATCTAACTGCATTATGGATTAGGTGGTTAGAGGTGTGCTTTTCACTCTTCTACAAATAATGCCCGTAAATAGAAAAGAGAATTCTTACCGGAGGATCTAGGAGTATAACCTGGACAAGATTACCTTTCACGTTCAGATTTTGTGACACATAGAAATGATCATTTTTTTTAAAGGAAGACCTTTCTGATTGTAAAATTACATATCCTCATTGTAGAAGTTTCGAAAAATATAAAGAAAAAAATACCAATTCCCCATAATTATGACTGCATTTGTTTCATTACAATCTTATTTTCTCTGTGTAATATAATTTAGATGATATTTATATGAGTTTGTACCCAACTATATTTTGTAACAAGTAAACATTTCCATATCCTGTTACTGACTGCATAATAATCTATGCTATATGTGTATCATAATTTTTTTTGTTATAATTGCTCATCACTTAAAAGCAGTCATGTTAATCACCCATGTTTTTAGCCTTTTGAATTATTTTATTTTTAATGGAATTTTATATTATACTGAATGTAAACAGATCTGTTCATCTGAAAGTGAATTAGCATAACTGGGCTCACTGAGATATCAGTAGTTTGTAAATGTGTGGTTTTCCCTTACTCCCAAGGGATTCTGTGTAAAATACTACAGCTCTGTACTCATGTGCTTTCTTTCAAAGTCTAGCACTTTTGGTGATTTGCATCTTGTGCCTTAAAGTCACAGCTCGGTGAATAACTCTTGATGAAATGTGAAGACCGTGGTTTGGGTTTTGGAGAGTGACCTTAGCCCCATGGAGGTCCTTTCCGTGGTGAATCTTTGTGAAGGCACTGTTTTCACACCCTTCTGCAGAGTGCTTGGGGGTTATTGGTGGCAGCAGGACACCCCTTTTCCTTCTCATTCAGGTTGCAGAGCCAGCCCTCTAACCAGGCTGGGCTTTCGCTTGCCAAGCTCGGGGCCCCATCTTACCCTGGGCCAGTGGGCTCTTCCATGTCAGCATTGCTTGCTGGGTGATGACATTGAGCACTTAGCTGTTGTTTTAAATGTGCTGTTTCTTTGTCATATATTCTCAAGTGACTTCCACAGGAACAGTAATAATGATGATAACGGCTGACTTTTATTGATCATGTATAATGTGCCGGGCATTGGTCCCCATGTGTTACTGATGTTACCTCTTTTGAACCTGGCAGCCTGAAGTTGGTGCCTGGATTACTCCCATTTTACACATGCAGAAAAGTGAGGCATAGACTTTTTGAGCAGCTTGCCCCTCGGTGACGGAGCTAGGAAAGCACAGCAAGATTTGTACCCATACTGTCTCCCTGACTAGACTTCTGACCACTGCCCCATTACACCTCCTTACAAAGGCCATTGAAAGCAGGCTATTTTAGGGGAGTAAGTCCTCTCAGAAGGCCACCTTTGAGTCCTCAGGTCCGTTTCCTGGCCTTCGCCCACCGTGGACTCCTTCGATCCTGTCCCTGTCACAGCGTCTGTCTGTGAGTGGAGTGAGGACTCAGGGCCGATCTGCTCAGGCTTATAGAAGCAGCAGGTCTCAGGCAGGAATCAGTGGAAGAGTAAGTGAGTAACTTAGCAGAGAAGATTTGGAAGAAGATTCTACTTTACCAATGTAAATAAAATATGCTCATGTTGGGATTAGCAAATTAAAGTTACACCCAGAAGTTTTGCTCTGATTAGAAGTGATATGTCATTCTTGAGAATTAATGGGAAATTTTGGAGGAGATCGGACATCGTTGTTGGAACCTGAATGTGGCCTCCTAAGAAATGCAGAGTGAACATACGTTTCTTATCAGGACAGATCACATGATGATTCAGAGTCCGTCTGAGATGAACTTGGGTGGATGGAAGCTCACTGATAGGCCATCTTAGAATTTAGGAAGAATTCATTATTTTACAACTTCCACCACGAACTCTTTCTGAGTTTCCACCAGTTCCAGCTCGTCTTAGAAGTTGTTTCATTAGGAATTATTGATGACCTTAGGTGGGCCTCATGCAACAATTATAAAGTAATCAAATGATTACTTGATTTTAGAGGTAGCCACCTCTTGTCTTTTAATTGCATACCTGGCAATAAGCTCATAGGAAATGCAAAGTAATGGTTTATAAGTAGCAATGAAATCTTTATATCTGTTTCTCCCCCACATTTATTTATTTTTAAAGAAATCAATGAATGTTCTGTGAACCCTGACATCTGTGGAGCAGGACACTGCATTAACCTGCCTGTGAGGTACACCTGTATCTGCTACGAGGGCTACAAGTTCAGTGAGCAGCAGAGGAAATGTATTGGTAAGAGATACTTTTCATAGATGAAATTATTAAATAGCAAATATTTGCACATTAACATTTTTTTCTGTAATTATCATAGGAAAATGTTATTGTGCTTGCTAGTTTAATGTTTATCCCTGAGCTAAGGTTGCTCAAAGAGAGGTTTGCTAAATTCATGGGAACCTCTTACGTCTTGATTCAATACTGCCTACCTTGCCAAGTGTAATACAATTATGTAAAGGTGAAATGATTCCCAAAAGTTTTTCAGGTAAAGTATATAAAATAAGAATTCTAGAAATAGCTAGCTACAAACATATATTTAACAAAATCAAATTAACATTAATCTATACTGCCATAAAGAATTATATTCTCTAATTGCATAAAATCCGATTTCTACTAGGGATTTCTAAATTGAAAATCAGTAAATGCTGACACATGCATGTTTCTCTGGAGAAAACTTTCTCAGCAGGAGATGTGATGGTGTTGTGTAAATCATTTTAATGTGTTAACACTAAATTTAGGTTTTAGAAGCTAAGAGTTATAAGGTGGATAAAAGCAACAAAGGCATGTAGCTAGTTAATACTTTAACATGCTAAATGCTATTAGACAAGACTTGGACTCCTGCTGCTTGGCTTTGTATACGTCCGAGGGGTAAGCGGGCATCCGCCTTTCATACTATGCCTGTTTCTCCTTCATTTGCACACACTGTCTGTATTTTTAGAACCATAAAGTTTCACGTTGAAAGGCCAGTCACGATGACCTAGTCCAGCTCGCCTGTGCGCACAGCGGGGAGTCCCTTTCACGCCACTTCTGTCTGTCCTGCTGTCCCTGCCGTCCCTGCCGGGAGTGGCACAGCAAATTCTAGAGCTTAGCTGACTCCAGTTATCAGGCAGGTCCTTCTGTGTCGACCTCAGATCTGTCTCTTTGCAACATCCATGTCACGGTTGTAGTTTTAGCGTTTGAAGCAACACACACGGCATATTGTATCCCCCTTCCCAGTGACAGCCTCCCCGGTGTTACGGAGGACAGCCACGTCTCCTTGTCGTCCCCTGTGAAGGTTTGTGGGCCGCAGGGAGCGTGCGCGTACTTGGTGAACAGGGAGACTGCGGATGTCACACTGCGGCACACTAATCCTTTTATCTGTCATCTTCTTAACAGATATTGACGAATGCAGCCAGGCCCAACACCTCTGCTCGCAGGGACGCTGTGAGAACACGGAGGGAAGTTTCTTGTGTATTTGCCCAGCAGGATTTATGGCCAGTGAGGAGGGGACTAGCTGCATAGGTAATGGCAATGTTCTTCCCGATGCATAAGCCCCCGATCCGGCTTTTTACCTCCCCTAAGATCCCGTCGGTTCAGTGCTTATTCAGACAACGCAGAATTTTTATCAAACACCTGCTATGATGCAGTAATCAGCTAGATGCTGAAAGATATAAAAATAGGATTCTTTTTCTCTAATACTTTCTTTTTACATTAAAAAAATTTTTAAATTACAGTTGGTATTCAATATTATATTAGTTTCAGGTGTGCAGCGTAGTCATTAGATACTTATATAACCTGGGAAAGGATCTCCCCGATTAGATCTAGTACCCAGCCAGCACCATGCGTAGTTATTAGAATCTTGTTTCTCTGATGCTTTTAAATGAAGAGTGTCAAGTGTATACACAGACCAGAGGTGTCAAATGTTTCTTCTGGATCCCACAAAAATCAAAACCGCTCACTTTTGAAGCAGGTGAAAGCAGGAATCAGTTCATTCTTAAACTCGAACTAAAGTGGGAGATGGGAGGGGTTTGGAATTTTCTTTCGGGAAATCAACCTGGACAGTGCTTTCTGCTTTCTGCAGATGTTGATGAGTGCCTGAGGCCGGACGTGTGCGGGGAGGGCCACTGCATCAACACCGTGGGAGCCTTCCGGTGCAAGTACTGCGACAGCGGCCACCGCATGTCCCCGGGAGGACACTGCCAGGGTGAGCCTGCTGCGGGGACGGGGCCACCGCCCCCCGCTGAGTGCGCAGTCGGGCTGCCTGTGGGACGCGGGCCTGGGTCGAGCCGCCAGCTCGTCCAAGCGCCTCCCGCCCTCCAGGGTCACAGCCTCTTTGCTGCACTTCCGTGGGACCGTCTGGATTGTTTTCTACCTTTGTCGCTCCAGTATCTTCCTTCCCCGGCGTTCAAGTGAGGTCACGTTAGCACAGTGCCTTGCAGAGTTAGTACAGACCAGACTTAATTACAGTGTCTGGAGCATTCATGTGAGGACACGGTGCAGGTGTAACCGCCGCTCACTGTTTTTGTTGGTCTTGACCTCTTCACCTTGGCGTGTTCCTTTGTCTCAACTTGTTTCTTTTACGTAGGCTTTGGGACTTGTTCGCAGACTCTCCACAGAAGCTCTGTCTGACCAGCTCCAGGTCAAATGTCAGTTGTGCTCCATAAAAATGTCTTTATTCTTGACCACGGCAGTGAGTTTGCTCTCCTTATAAAAATGTTTCCAAAAGTTTTTATTGCATGGTCAAAACGATGAACCATTTCATATTCTCATGTCTGGGTCCAAATTGCACACAGGTTCTTTTCGAAACCACGGTGGTACTTTCCTTTAATTATTTTCTTGAAGAAACCAGCATTTACCCAGATACCCAAACCGGACAAAGACATTCCAAAATAAGAAAATGACATTGAACTTCGGCTTAAATCCTGCCGTGGAAACGTGAGGGTAAAGGCACGGGAGTCTCTGAGCCAGTGCCTGGGAGCCCCGACGTGGGGCTGGGGCTGGTGCCTTGGGGTTCGCTGCCCGGCTGCCC